TAATGTTACACAGTTTAGAAGGGGGTGAATATATGGAAATGTACCACTTGGGTGTTCAATGCAGATTTACTATGAGAAAGAAGTGACTGCCTACTGCAATAGTTGGCATATAGGTGCTTTGGGGTATGATGTCTTCCATGCCACAGGTAGGAGGGAGCTATGAGCTATGAGCTTAAATGATAATTCTGTAACTTTTCTTGAGATACTATAGAGAGAACCCAGTGCTTTGTGTACGGTAGACAGTGATGTAACTCTGGAATACATCCCCATCCTTTCTATAACGTTTTAAAATGTACACTTTGGAGGCCTCCTCACTTGTCCCCTACCCACGGTGACATGTTGCACTTAGCAGCAATCTTTAGTTACTCTTTCATCACTTGGAGGGATACCAGAGAGCAGGCATGATAATCTAGAAATCACCAGTGCATTCCCTCCATCCTGTGGCTGGGCTTGAGCCCCAGCAGGACACCTGCCTCCAGTCTTCTCAACCCCCATTTTACAGATTGGAACTTTGGCAGGAGAGATGAACAAGTGGCAGACAGGGCTGAGTCCCAAGTAGGCAGGGAGAGTGGCCGGGAGTCATCAGACAATTGGTTCAGTGCAGGCAGGGACGATGGAATGAGATTCTCCCACGCTTCCAGGGATGGATGGTGAGATTTGGTGGGAGTAAAAAGAGAAAGAATTCCAACAGTTGGGTGGCAAGGTTTATTAAACGGCAGTTTGGTGCAGATAAGCTTTGGTGGGAACCACATCTGTTGAAGAAAAAGCTACTTCCAGCCTCTTGATGAACTAGCCACTTATTACTAAATAGCACTTGCAATGATCTCAGGAAATAAGGCAGGGATGGGAACCCATCCAGGAAGGAGATGATACTTTGAATTACAAATGGCGTGTTGCAAACTCTGCAGTTCCTTTCCTGAAGGGTGCCCTTGTGTGGAGCATGGCCTCATGCTCATAGCACGGGACTCTGGGAGCTGAATCCCTGAACAGCCACGGAGGGCACTCTGCTTATCTCACTGCGACTGGCAGTTTTTTTTTTTTTTTTTTTTTTTTTTTGAGACAGGGTCTCACTGTAGAGTCCTGGATAGACTGGAACTCTCTATGTAGATCATGCGGGGCTCAAACCCAGAGAGATCTGCCTGCCTCTGCCTCCTAAAAGCTAGAATTAAAGGTATGGCTTTTAAAAACAAAAACAAAAACAAAACGAAACGAAACAAAGACAAAACAAAACAAACAAAAAAACCAAAAAAAATAAAATGTACACTTTGTGCATATACATGGCTTCTGGTATTGGGTTTCTATGGGATTCCTATGTGCGTGAACAAATGTATATATCTCTGCATTTATATGTGTTTCTTATGCTTTTTCTTTGGCTCTTTTCCTTATTTGGTTGTTTTGTCATTTTTTTTTGTTTTTGAGTAATCTTATTGTATCTTATTTTATTTTATTATTATCCCTTAGAAACCTGATGTTTTCTAATAAGAGACAGAAAGGGAGTGGATCTGGGTGGGAGGGAGGTGAGGAGGAGGTACGAGGAGTAGAGGGAGGGAAAACTGTAATCAGTATATATTGTATCAAAAATCCATTTCAATAAAAGAAAAAAGAGAGAAAATGTACCCTTTCATTTAATAAACCTCAAAGAACACATTTCTGATGATTAAACTTCAGATCCATGATTTCAAGATAATGTCATATTTGCAGTGATGCTACTATATTTAACTTGAGTTGGAGGAATGCAGTTAAATTCAATTTTGCTTAATTTTGTAATTTTTCGATTTTGTGGTGCTGAGTGTTTCCTACCAGTTCTGTCAGCATTCTTTTCTTATAACAGGACTTATCACAATTTTAAATGAAGCTAGACTATTATAGAAACTTCTAAAACTTCTTTCATATAACACCAATTTAATTCCTAAATAAGGTTTACCTTATGTGATATGAAATTAATTTGGGATATCTCAAATCTCATTATTTTTAAAGCTATTGGTTCTTGTGCAGACATGGATAGAGTGATATGGTGGTTTTTAATTAAATGTAAAGTCATAAGAATCTATTTGAAATACTACCTAACAATATGATAGGTTCTTGAAACATTAGATTTGTGAGTTACTGAAATGCTTATGGCAAAATTGCTTGACTTATACAAGATATCTCAACTATGAGGCACAGTCTTGTCAGTTTTATTTCTAGTGAGCTAAGTGGAATATTTTAAAGGCAAACTACAATTAGGTCTTTGTCAGGTGTTCTCTGAGTAGTGATTCATTTCCCTTTTTATTCATTAGGTTGTCACAGGCAATGAGAAGTGTGGCTTTTTCTCTTTTCTTCATTCAAAGGGGTTGATGAAGGTTGAGACATGGTCTCAAAATGTGGCTCAGACTGTCCTCAAACTCAAGATTTTTGCTTTCTGGGTGCCAGGATTATAGGCATATACCAACATTACCAGCTGAAGTGTGTCTTTTTAGTTACAGTGCTTGTCTGGCTACATTTTTGCCATGATTTTGAAGGAGAGCAGAGAGGGGTATCTGGAAGAGTTTGAAGGGAGGAAAGGGAAGGCAGAAACGTTGTAATTAAATTATAATCTCAAAAAATAAAATAAAATAAACTTTAAAAAATGACAAAAATCTAGCCAGACAACACTGTAACTAAAAAGACACCTTCATCAATCCTTCGAATGAAGGGTACATTTTCCCTCTTTCTCCATTGGAGAAAACTAATTTTTCTTTTGCAAGCAGTTGACAATTAAAGATAGCTTTTTGGTTAGGGATGGGAGCTGTCTTCCCCCCTCAACACTGCAACCTTGTTTGGATGGAACCTGTGCAGGCCCTGTGCATGCTGCCATAGTCTCCGTAATTTCATGTGTGTGTGTCAGTCTTGTTGCATCTGGAAGACATGGCTTCCTTGGAGTCATCAATCCCCTCTGGCTTTTACAATCTTTCCACCTCCTCTTCTGCATAGCTCCTAGAGCCTTGAGGGGAGAGATTTATGAACATATCATTTAGGATTGAGTGTTCCAAAGACTCACTCTGTGTACATTGGGCAGTTGAGGGTCTCTGTGTTAGTTCCCATCTACTGCAAAGGAAACTTTTCTGATGAAGACTGAATGAGGCACTGATCTATGAGTACAGCAGAATGCTATTAGGAGTCATTTTATTGCTGATCCTTTAGCAGAATAGTAGTATTTGGTTTTCCTCTAGTTCCCTGGCCTATCTAGTCTCAGGTTCTTGGCTACCCAAGCAGTATCAGGCACGGGTTCTGTCTTATGGAGTGGGCTTTAATTTTTCTCACTCACCTTTTCCTATATTTGTTTGTGGGACCAGTCCTGACATAATTCTCTTGAATCTGTTCATATATGTTTCATTTTTCAACCACTGTAATGTGAATTCTCCCCTACTGATTCTGAGAATAATACGTTGAAAAGAGCACACCTCATTTGATCATTGTCAAAACAAGTAACTCTTTCTTACTTTCAGCAGAACTTAAAATTGTTGAATAATATTGGATCACTTTTCTTCAACTTTTAGATTCGATTCCCTTTGTTTCTCTCCTGCCTATTTTTCTGATTCCATCACTAGCCTCTTTTCCTGTTTCATTGTCATTTGGACTTTTTAAGGAAAACAGATTCTTGAGCAAAAATTTCAATCTCATCATGTTGCCCACCACTTAATTGTTTAGGTATGCTTCTAATACATAATTCTATCAATATTCAGTACTGTTTTTGTTGTCTCATTATTTTCCCCTCTTCTCTGTCCTCTTTAGGTACAAACAAAACAAAGAAAAACTTTGATCTCTCTGGCTATCCACAGAGCCCTTCAGTGTGCTATTATTTCATGCTTTGACTATGGAAGTGGTTTCTTATCTAGTCTGTTTATTTCTAAATCTACCTTCTATTCCATATATATATATATATATATACACATATACACACATATATATGTATATGTGTATGTATATATGTGTATATGTGTGTGTATTTGATACATCTATTTAATAGTATAAATGTAGAAATTTTATATAAATATATACATATTTAATTCTATGTTTTTTTTTAAACCTGGCTTTAGTTAAATCCTATGTGAATTTGATTGCATGTGTTTATTCCTTCCTAATCCCATTCAATTATAAAGCAAATTTAAAAAAATCAAGTTAGGGAGAATACAGTAGAAGCATGGAGGTGGTTAAAACTATTTTGAACAAAGTAAGTTACAACTTAAATGAATTCCCCTTCTCTCCTATGAGGAAAACAAACTAATTCTTCTTATGGAAATTCTAATATCTCCAGACTTGGTCTGTGAGAAGCAAGAATGTATCATGTGATTTAAAACATGGGTTGTTTATTGAAAGCCTTTATGGTAAGTGGCTGGAGTTCCAAGCTAAGCCCTGCTCCTTAGGAAATGGAAGAGTCTGCTCTTGAATTTTAATGGCAACCCCAGACACAGATCTTTGTGGGCTAGAGGTGTTGTTAATATGAAGCAGGGGTGTTGGTTAGAGAAGGGCTGAATCACACAGTTGCAAGGACCTAAATGGATACAACTTACATATATCTTGATTGCAATCTATCTATTTGGTGTGCTAGGCGACCCTGGCATATATACCAAGCTCAATAGGGGAAAGTCACTAAGACTGCCATCCAAATGAGTTGTGCTGTCCACTGATGTTGAGTCTATCTTACTTGACTGACAATGGATGTGTTAATTGTTTTTAAGAAAGGGCTGGTACATTCTGGTTGGACCATGACCCAGCTTTGTCTAGCTTAGCAAATAAACCTCTTTTCTGCTTTGTTGTGTGGGGATCCACTTGTCCTGCTGTGCTGCTCCAGATCTGTTCTGTCCTTAGTACTTTTTACTCGGTGTAATTCTGGAGCTGTCTGCCTCTTTTGTGGTATGACATCATCTTTTACCTTTCATGGCTTGTCCTCATATTGTTTCCTAGATCACAAACTTTGAGCTGTTATAACAAAATCCCAGAGAGGGTTAATTCATACAGAAAAGAAAAATATTCCTTACTGTTGTGCAGAATAGAAGTTCAAAACCAAGGTGCTAGGGTCTTCTTGCTTTATCATCCTGTGGGAGATGATGAAAAGGAAAAGAGAGAGAAAGAGTGAGTATGTGCATATGAAAGCAGGCCAAAAGGTGGTGAGATAGCCCAGCAGATAAAGGTGCTTGCTGCCAAGTTGTGTGACCTGAGTTCAATCATGGATACTACAGGGTAGGAGAGCACTGACTCCCACAATTTGACCTCTAATCTCTGTGTGCATACCATGCCATGGCCTCCCATGCAACCAATTTAATAAAAACAAAAACAAGTGACACATATCCTTTTATAAAGAGCCCACTCCACAAAATGATCATTAATAAGGCTGTTGTCTCTATGATCCAAATGTCTGACAAACCCAAACACTCCCCAGCACTGTCACATTAGGAGTAAAGTTTTCCAACATAGTGCTTTCAGAGCGGGACACATCCAAATGACAGTAAGGATTCTAAATAAGTTTGAATGCTTAGCTCCAGGGCATTATATTTTATGCCTCATTTAATTAGTAAAGCAGGGCTTTATTGCTCATCTCATTCTTCTGGATTCCTAGTAGCAATCTAGGTACATTTGGTATTTTAATGCTTTATCATATCTCCTTTAAAAACACACCATAGAGCCTGAACAAAATATAAGTCTTACAACATCTCAAAATTATCTCACCATTTAAAACTTTTTAAGGAAAGGGAAAATCCAAAGTCATTTGATTTTGAGATGCTTTAAACTTTTAATTTCATTTAAGGTCCTTGATTACTTGCAACAATGTGCTTATAAGCAGAAAACATGATGTGAACATAAGCATACATGCTATATAGTTTTGATTTATTTCCTTTTTCAAATTTATATAAAAAATGTCTAGCAGAGCACATTTTTTCTCTTTCTCCTGTTTCTTTTATTTCTTTTTTTTTTTGTTTTTCGAGACAGGGTTTCTCTGTGTAGCTTTGCGCCTTTCCTGGGACTCACTTGGTAGCCCAGGCTGGCCTTGAACTCACAGAGATCCGCCTGCCTCTGCCTCCCGAGTGCTGGGATTAAAGGCGTGCGCCACCACCGCCTGGCTTCTCCTGTTTCTTAAAAAATAAACGGGAAGAGAGCTAGGGACAGATGAAGGACCCATCTCCCACTCCTTAATTATTTTTTCTGTAAATCTTCATAGCAGACACTTTTACAAACAAAATTGCATGTAACACATTCTTATACTTCTAATGTGATAGCTTGATTTTATTAACAAGGAACACGAAAGTAAAATGTACATTTTGCTTCCTAAAAGAAACAGACTTTGGTATAGTTCAGTTTACTAAAACAGGACAACCATGAAACCAATTCCATTCATTTCAAGAAAAACAAAACTTCTGTTTAATACCTAAGATTTCAAGATGTTGTAAATTTCTGGCCCATATTTTGTGCAACCCTTTGTAAAAACTTTATGGGCTTCTCAGACTCTTAGTCCCCACATTAACTTGGGAATTGGTGCTGTCTTTGTATAGCAAATGCTTGCCCCAACTGTGGGGCGTTTACCCAACCACCCCCACAGTTCCCCAGAGTTTTCTTGAGTGTGAGCAGCAGGAAATATTAGATAGAAGGATTTATTGCGGAGAATATCGCGGAGATAAACAGATAGAAAATAAAGGATAGCCTTGAGAGGGCCTGGAACCTATTCCAACGGGCCCTGACTGTCTTTGCCCCAGGGTTTTTATAGAGACGCCAAGGGGTGGAGCAAAAGACCTCCTCCCCCAGCACAGCCAAGTGCAGACCATCTCAGACACCTGCACTCAGGCCCGTGGTCCTAATCATCCTCTATGCGGACCTGCTGGGTAAAGCCACGAGAAACCCGAGAACGGGCTCCCACACCCAACCCTATACTTTTCATTTCTTTTGTCTAAACTAACTTCCCACAGACTTCTCAAGCCTACTGAATCAAGTGTCCATAGATAGTCAACACATACAGAGGAATTTAAGTTTGTGTGGACTGTCTATGGATACTCGTTAGCTAATGACTTCACATGAAATTATCAATAATATTATCAATACTATTTAATGATTCAACATCGGGTTTTCAATATATTCTGACTATTGAACTTTGTAAAATGATTCAATTCTGTAATTTTCACAAGATATATTATGGACACTAGGTACATGGATTTATATCATAAGACTTTCATAACTTAAAAACAGCACTATTGTGAAAAGTCTTGATACTGATTTTCAGAATGAATTTTGATTTCTTTTCTTCCTAAATAGGTCTATTCAGCTGTGAGAGGAGATGGATCATCTGCACAGAGGAGAATTGGTTTCTGCAATACTCCGCAACCGGTATTTATGAAAGCAGTTTACTTTATAAGTTTATAATCTATTTTATATGCTTAACATAGAAGGCACTCAATAAATACTTATTTAATGCCTAGCTTAAAATAGGAATTATTTATTAAATAAGTAAGAGAATAACTGAATAATCAGATAAATAGTATTATTAACACTGTGTTCTGACCTAATGAAAAATAGAGAACATACCTAGAAAACACAATAGATATAAAGTGTGAACAACTGGCATATAGCCACTGGAGATTATGATTTAAAATATTAGTTTTAAAAACATTATCTGTGAATAAATACACTCATAGCTTAATAGTAGAAGTCCCAATAAGATTTTTTAAAATAGTACTTCCCTGTGATTATGCATACATTTCTGTCACTAAAATCCAGTTATATGCTTTCCAGGGAGTTACTGTGAGCCATTTAGAGCTCTCCAAGGCAGGCTAAGAATTTAAATTAATGGTTTAAAGAAAAATTGACTTGTTTATGCAGGTGTGAAAGAATATTTCTTCTTCCTAGTATTTTGATTGCAGAGTTTGGGTGAAGCTGTGAATAGTATGTTCCATAGCATTTTCTATGTCCTGGTTATTATGTGTGGTAGGAGTACAGTCTTGAGAAATGTTCTCATTTGTTTTAAACTTCAATTTCATCATCTGTGAAGTGGGGCCAATAATACCTCCATTGCAAGCTCCACTATGGTATGTATGTGCTTGTAATGTGTGTGAGGGGAGAGAGGAAGAGTGCAGTTGGTAGCAGACTTGGCAAATAGTAAGTGCATGTAAGTGCTAGTCTTATTGAAATCTGAGTGTGGCATTTCAATTATTAAAATGTGGCACAGTCATACACTATATATCATTTCCATTAATAATAGATACATATATAACTATGGTCCTATAAGATTATAATGGAGGTGAAAAACCCTATGTAGTCACCCTAATAACATAGGAAAGTTCATTACTCGTGTGCTTGTGAAGATAGTGATAGAAATGAACCTATTTTTCTGCATGTTGTATACAAGTTTACCTTATTATAGTTGTGTGCAGAATATAATAATTAGTAATGATAATAAATGACTGGTACTGGGTTGCATTCCATTATATTATAATTTTAGTATTATTTTAGAATGTGATCCTATTCATATAAAAATGTTTACTATAAAATAGTATGCTGTGTTACACTGACATTAGCCTCATGTGGAATACTTTTACAATGTCTTTTGATTAGTGACTGACCATCTAAGTTTGTATAAATGTATGAATTTGCTATATGCTATGTACACATTGATAAAATTACCTAATGATTTACTTCACAGAACATATCCCCATCATTGAGTCATGATGAATTTGTGAATTTGTGATTCAGGGATATTTTAAACTACAGTTGAATTGTAAGACAAAAATGTGAATGGTTAAGGCAGAAGTGTAATGCATACAAAGTTGTGGCTATTTGACATATAGTATACAATGGGTTTTACATAACAATCCCATTAAGTAATCACATAAGGGATGCTAATGTATTGGGATGTGCACTATCACCATCTTTGGAAGGGTGTGATACTGATCTGTACCGGGAGACTATAAGATGTATTTGCTCAATAACACAGAAATCAGCAAAATGATAAAAATAATTTGTGGTCATGTTTAGTGAAAAGACAGAGAAGACTCCAGCCAAGGAAGCAGGTAGGCTAAATGTAGATCTTCACCTCTCCTTTCTCTCCTCTAAATCCAATCCCCCGGTCTCATCCCCAGCCCTGTAACAGACCACCTGCTGCAGCCTTCTAGCCTCTTCCCCTCTTTTCAGTAGATAAACAGATCTTCCCCTCCAAACTTTGCTGCCGCTGCCTTTCCAGCCACACACTCGCACTCAGTTCTTTATCACAGCCTCCAAATCCAGCAGGTATTCCCTGGGAACCAGCAGGCCACTCCTACCAGGGAGGCAGGTAGCCTGTGAATCTTCCCTATTCCTTCCTCACCTCTAAATCTCATATCCCAGTCTCACCCCCAACTCTGTAGCAGACCACTTGATGAAGTGGGTCTCTCCTCTCCAGTGGATCACACAGATCTTCTCCTACTAACTTCCTACTCACCCATCCTGTTATTATAACCCCCAACTCCAGCAGTAGAAATACAGGAAGGAGAAGAAACTCAGGTCAGAGACATAGAAAATATTTTCAACAAAATCATAGAAGAAAATTTTCCTAACCTAAAGAATATTAAAAGCTGCAAAGGAAAAAGATCAAGTAGCATATAAAGGAAGAATGATTAGAATTACACCTGACTTTTCAGTGGAGACTCTGAAAGCCAGAAGGGCCTGGACATATGTGCTACAGTCTCTAAGAGACCACAGATGCCAGTCCAGACTACTATACCCATCAAAGCTGTTGTGATTGCTATTCTTGGTTATCAATTTGACTACATCTGGAATTAATTAAAAACCCCAAAATAGAGGGCACACATGAGAGTGATTTTGGCTTAATTTGAAGTAGGAAGATCTACTTCTAATTCAGATCTTTGAGGTAGGAAGATATACCTTTAGTTCAGCTATTAAGGCAGGAAGACCCATCTTTAATCCAGATCTAATCTGAGCCATGCCTTTTACTGGAAGCCTAATTAGACATGGGAGGAAAAAAGCTTTTGCTCTTTGCCTACTTGCTCTTGCCTTGCTACTAGTAAGTCCTTACCTTCACTGACATTAGAACCTACTTCTTCAGAATTCCATTGTA